GGCTGTGGTGTGGGGTTTTCTGTGGTTTCCGCTCCAGTCCGCAGTGGTTCTCATATCTGCCTGTGTCTCAGAACTGGAGGAATAGCTTTTCCTGGGTCTCACTGTGGGTGGGTCTAGGAGATGTTGGTTTTAAAATAGGTTTACTTGTTAGAAGCTTTATGCACTCAAAACGAGAAGCCAGCATACTAGCCACTCTCTACTTTTGCTCTGAAATAGTCTACGTAAGTCAGCCTGTCAGCCTCTCAGCCCTTCTCTCAGGTCTTTACCCTGGACTCCAGAGACTGTTTACTTCTTTGAAGACTAAACTTTTTCCTTTTTAAAAATGGAAGCATTTTACATAGTCCTGAGTCTGCATCTTGATAGCTGTACACACAGAGACATCCGTGCCTGACTCTGGGAGAGAATATTCAGTCAACTTTCCCACAGTCTCATCTGCCCCTTCCCCCAGAAGTCTCCAGTCTAAAGTCACCAATTCCGGCTTCCGTCCTGGTGGATCAGTTTGCACATTCTGGTGCTGCATGTTCGCGGGACTGTGCACCATCGGTGGCAGCCGGCCTCGTTTGCTCAGATCCTGGGAGCTTTTGCCACACTGCTGTCTCAGTTACTTCTTTTTATTAGTCATGTTCTCACAACTAACTTATCCAGTCACCTGTCGGTGAATAGCTGAACAGCTTCCATTTTGGGGGCTGTCAGAAAGGAAGCAAGCATAGCGTGTGTCCCCGAGACTTAAGAAAGAGAAGCATTTCTCCTGACTAGATGAACAGTGAGGCAGGGGTCGCTGGGTAATGTGAGGCGTGTATGTATGAAAACTTGTCAGTTTTAGTACTGTTAATGCTATCGTAATAGAGTCTTTCTTAGCTCATCGAGCCGTGGAAATGCGAGTCACAGTGGTCATTTTGACTGATGACTGCACCAGTGGATAACAGATGGTGTCAGCTGTGGCACGCGCCTGTGCCAAACCCACGGGAAGCTTCAGCAGCTGCCTCGGGAGCGAAACTGATGCCAGTTTCCATAACTCACGGCACTGCTTCTGCTTCAACTAAATTTAACAACTGAGCAACACAGAAGCCGTTTGCATTTACCAAGTCTGCCCAGTATAGTCCCTGTTAGTGAGCCTGGCAGAAGAGTGGCCGGTTCCCTGTTTTAGATTTGTTCTGCGTGATTCCCAGTGCCTTCTTCTCGTCTTTCTATGTGTGAGACTTATTAAATGTTACTACCGTCATAGAGGAACAAACAGACAGCAGCACGATGTGGGGCTTCAAGGAGCACTCAGCCATGTGGCAGCATGGCTGTCTGTCCCTTCTGTCTCAAGACAGAGAGGTCCTATGACACATGTCTGATGGATGGGTAGTCAGTAGTTTGTGTGAGGCTGCCTTTGCCTGGAAGTACGGAAGAACAGGAATCTAGAAAAACAAGTTTGTAGAGGACCTTTAAACACTGACGTGCCTGGCTAACATTCTTGAGGAGTTTTGTTTGTTTTTGTTTTTTAATTAGCCAGATGAAAGGTGGGGGAGGGGAGACCCTTGTGAACTGAGTAGTTCTTTTCCTGCTGGGCAAAGGTGGACAAAGACTTATCAGGAAAGTCTTAGGACAGTCTCTAGTGTGGGAAATCCTAGAGGAGAAGGGTGCCTTGGGAGAGGGGTCTTTCCTCAATGGCCTCCTTGCCTGCTGATATCTGCTAGCTACCTAACCCAAAAATTTAAATTATGTCAATGGACAGTGTGTCCCCCTAGACAGTTCCATGGGAACAGGCATCAGTTACTCCTGAGCAGCTGCTGAAGTGGCTGTCTACTTCCAGCTAAAAACGGGACACAGATGCATGTAGGGTTTCCCCGTTGGGCACTGCAGGGCAACTAAGGAGCTTCAGAGAGAGGGAGTTAGGTTGTCGCAGGACCGTACGAGTGAGAGTGGACATTTTGAGGGACTGAGAACTTTGTACTCGTCTGGCAAGGGAGATGTGGCGGGTTCCGAAGCTTGCTTTTCTGGAGGCAGGCGCTGGCTGTGCAGCAAGCATTCACTCCCAGCAGCTTGGGAAAGGAGCAGGAGCCGGGATATCCAAACAAGGAACCTGGGTGTTATCCCGAGAAGCCGGACCTGATCCGAGCAGAGAATCGAGCCGGGATGAAAGCTCCCCGAGGCCGCTGCTTCACAGAGGGAAGCAGAGTTGGAGCCCTGGCCAGCTGGAGGAGAGGGATTTGGGGTTGGCAGGGGTGGAGATGGGGGTTCTGTTTGGTTTTTGTTTTGTTTCCCTGTGTACCCCTGGCTGTAACTCTGAGCTGTGCCTGCCTCCCACGTGCTGGAACTCCATGCTTCGCGTCTGGTTTTTGTAATAACAGAGGGAAGGCAGCTTCCAAGGCGGAAAAGGCCGTGATAGAGGAACTGTGTCCGTTTGCTGTTTAACTGCATGAAGGTATCTGAGTGTGTAAAGTGTTTGAGGCCCATTACGAGAGTTTTGGCTAATTAATCAGATCCACTTGAGAGGGATAAGAAACAATCTTCATGAGTCTTTAACTCCCTTCCTAGGGTGTGACAAATGTCACAGATGGTAAACCAAGGGAAAATTAAGTGTCCTTAGATTAAAGGCAGGAGGTTCTGATCCAAGCCTGGAGGACACTCTGGCCCAGTAGTGAGATTTTCCAGAATAGTCCACTCTCAACTTAGCCTCCATAAGGCTGGACAGTGGTAGGACACACCTTTAACCCCTGCACTCAGGAGACTGGGGGTGGGGGGCAGATCTCTGTGAGTTGGAGGCCAGCCTGGTCTACAGAAAGAGTTCCAGAACAGAAAAACTGGAAGGGGGGAGGGGTCAGGTAGAGGGAAAGAAACCAATATTGAAGATGAAGTAAACCGTAATGTTAACTATACTGTGAGGAGTCTGAGCCTGTCTGACCTTTATATCAAAATGATAAAATTGAGGTCCGCTGGAGAAGTGGCTGACAGCAGATGACTCAGGAGGCATAAGGCGCCTCCTGTGGGGTGACTGATGTCACTAAGAGAGGTGACATCTCATTTGTTCATATACTTTTGCTGCAGCAAACATAACGTGAGTGCTCTTTAATGAAAGTGAGTTCTGACGCTATCCCCACCTCCGAAGCTCCAGTGGTTTTAAATGTCGGTCAGCTGACTGAGTCCAGGCCCACGTCACCTTTCCTCAGACTCAGCTACTTTGCTCAAGTAGCTTACAGAGCTCAGACTGGGGAGATTAAACAGAAAGAATTAGCAGAGACAAATACACCTACTGTTGGAATGACTATGACTTCATGAAAATCTGGATTGTGGCTGCACCAAGGCAGTAGGGGTGGTTTGTGCCCAGGAGGCCCTGGCTTGCTCTTGCTCAGTGTGTGTGACTTGGTGGGACATGGCAGCACTATTGGGGGGGGGTGATTGAGGTGAGGAATCCAACCTCCGGAATGAAGGTTTAGGTCACCCTGCTTGTAAAACCTAAGGACTTGAGTGGCCCTTTAATTGCATGTTGATGAACAGTGGTACAGAATACCTTCTTGAAGAGGAAGCTACAGCCCTCAAGTATAACATGTGTCCAATTGCAAAGGTAGAGGCTGCTATTAACTTGGTATATTTTATCTTATTACATGTGTTTATGTATTATCTATGCTTTTTATTTTTATTCTATATACAGATCTTCAGGGTTTTTTTTTTTCTTTTTGGTTTTTCAAGACAAGGTTTCTCTGTGTAGCCTTGGATGTCCTGGAACTCACTCTGTAGACCAGGCTGGCCTCACAGAGATCCTCCTGAGTGTTGGGATTAAAGGTGTGCACCGCACACTCAGCTAGCTGTAACAGACTCTTTAGGTAAAAGAGTGTTCAGTGTAGTGTACCTAAATTTGAAAAGTAATTCATATAGCCACTAATTAGCCAGTTACTATTGATAACCAACCGTTAGGATGGTGCATCTTCTCAGTTGCTTAGCTGCAAGTCGCTAGGTACAACTAAAGAGTTGTGTGGTCACAGGGAGCTTAAGCGTGTGTCTGATGGTATATAGGGTTGTGTGGTCACAGAGAGCTTAAGCATGTGTCTGATGGTATTTAGGGTTGTGTGGTCACAGGGAGCGTAAGCGTGTGTCTGATGGTATATAGGGACTGAGTAGCCAGAGGGAAAGGCTGCCAGCTACAGGCTGTGGCTGGATGGAAGGTTTAGTTACTCCTTGGCATGAGCTGTAACTGATCTTTTACTAGCGAGTGTGATGTTAAGCTCAGTCAGTAGGGGGTGCAGGAGGGACACTCAAGGAAGAGCTCCCCCTGACTGTGTTGCTGCACTCTCCGCTTCCTTGCTCCTATCTTAGGGACATTAGTAGTCGTGTATATGGGCTGCTCCATGGTGCCCAGCAGCAGCCGTGCCCCGGGGCACACTGTCTTCCTTTTGTGAGCACAGTAGACTCTCGTCTTTGGGAGCTGGGTGTACACCGGCTAGAGTCTGACTGGCATGTACTACAACTGTAGAAAGCCTTTCTAACTCGCGGTGTGTGCTTGTGTCCAGCAGCAAGGCCCACAGCTACCAGCACTCTCTCCAAACCTCCCCACAGCTCTCCAGTACTGGGACTTCTGGTCCTCAGGTTAGCTCTAGGTTTAAGGTGGGCATTCTGGAACCCTGAGAACTCCCACTCCTCATCTGTAGATGCCACAGACTGAAGGACAGCAGTGCACATGTCGTAGAGCCAGGCTTGGGCCTAAAGACAGTGGAGTAAGGTTCTCCCTCACCCACGGACTAACCAGACAAGTCCAGCCCTGCTTACCATCTGAGATGCGTGAGATCTGATTGGTTAAAGATGGTGGCTGTAGCTTTTTCTCAATAAAGCTGCCTCTGGGACTCTGCCCTAGGATCCCATTCTGGGTCATAAGGCTACCTTTTTACTAAGTCAAAATTGGAGAAGGCGGTGGGTGAGGTCTGGGCCTCTTTGTCGTCTTAGGGGGTAGGGGGCGGTGCAGGAGGATGCTCTCTCTGAGTGCAGTTCCTAACCATTTCCCACCTCTTTCTCTTTCCAAGAAGCCAGAAGAGGAGAAATGAAGAGTTTTGCCTCTAAGGACATGGCCAAGGTAAGCCACATTTGCACTTTGTTCGTAGAAAAGCTTTTTAGTTTCTAAACGCTGCTGAGAACTGAGGAGTCTTCTCGGGAGACTTAGGTGATGTGGAGAAGAGAAAGGCACGCTTGTGGTGTAGTTTCCCCATACCAGCCTAGGGCGGCTGCTTTGTACGAACAGCATCTGGGTTGTCTAGAACCTCTGTGTTCTAGACTTTTGTTCATTAGAACAGAATCTTGATGATGAACCTGACCAGTTAGCAGAATAAGGTTGTTCTGCCTAATTTCTGTGTTGTCCCTTCTAGGGTCACTGTAGTGACGGCATTCTTTCTTAAAAGTTATAACAGCCTAGGGTGTCTGCCTGGCCTCTTCAACTCACTTTTCCACAAGATGGAAAACGTTGATTGCATTCTGTATGTACATTAGGAAAGAAGATTTCTGCAAAAAACGATTGAGAACTGATCGAGAACATTAGTCACCCAGAAGACACTCAGTGGTCACTGTTTTCAGACTCTTTCGTCTGTGCTGTGATTGGCCCCGTGAGTCTGTTTTCAGTGCATGAGCACGCTGACAGAAATCACCAGCTCAAGCACTTGCTTTGTGTCACAGTGGTTTGAGGTTCTTCCCAAGTGTGATCTTATTCAATCCTAGTCATGACCCCGTGACACAGCTCTGACTATGTCATTTCAATAGGGCGTCTTTATTTACTCCTTGAAAGTAATGTCCGTTGATCACGTGCCTCCTCGGCTTTTTCTGTTACCTCCTGCAGACAGTCCCCTTAGCCTTTTTTTAACCTACTGAGTCCCATTAGTGCTGACTGGTCCTGCTGGCTCAGCCTGGGTAGGGGCTGCTGTGGGCCTGTGAGGGCCACGGCCTTGCCACAGCACCTCCCCTAGCCTTCAGGAGATATTTGTGTGGTGGCTACATTCTTCTACTTTCTAAGATTTATTTTTATTTTATGTGTGTGGGTGTTTTGCCTGTATATGTGTCTCTGCACTACATGTGTGCCTGGTACCCACAAGAGCTAGAAGAAGATGGCAGGTCCCCAGAGACTGGAATTACTGATGATTATGAGGTGCCTTTGCGTGGTGGAAATTGAACCTGCATCCTCTGGAAGAGCAGCCAATGATCTAACCGCTGAGCCATCTTTCTAGGCCCTCGATTTTCTTTTTTGATGATTTTCCTTTGACAATTTCATGCTGATATAGAATGCATTCTGATAACTCTTTCTGGACCCTCTCCTATCTTCTTCCCACCCCAGACAACACCCCAATCTCTTTACATGTCCCAGATTTGTTTTGTGACCCATGTAATTTAACCACGGCCATCTGTGTGACTCACAGATTGGTTTGTTTTGAGAAGGGTTTGACTGTACAGCCCTGGATGTCCTGGAACTCACTTTGAAGGCCAGGATGACCCAAACTCAGAGAGATCCTCTTGCCTCTGCCTCCCTAATGCTGTGACTAAAAGTATGGGCCACTATACAACTCTTGGATTTGAACTTCCCCCGTGTCCTGATTAGGTCACTGGTGGTTACATAGCTGGTGACAGTGACTCCCTAGGTCATTGGGTTTTGTTTTTATTTTTAACTTTTTCTTGGTCCTTCTGGAGTTTCGCATCGTGTATCGAAGTCCCACTCATTTCCCCATCCCTCATATCCACCCTTTGCCCTCGAGACATCCCCTCCAAAATAAAGCCCATGCGCGCACACATACACACGCACACACACCGACACCCCAACCAAAACAAAGCATAGAAAACTTCTCATTGTGGAAGCTGTAGTGTGTCCAGTGTGTCCAGTGTGTCCAGTGTGTTCCATAGTCTATCCCTCTGCCCACACATCTTCTCTTGCAAATGTTCATTGCAAGGAGTCATTGGTTAGGTTTAAGATCTCTGGCTTGGGTCCTCTCCAGGTCTCCTCACGGCTATTGCCCTGTGTCACGGAAGTCCTGCAGATCCAAAGTTTTCACACACTCTAGCAGTTCATAGATGGAGTAGAGTTTGGGATAGACCAATTATTGAAGTGGGCCTGGATGGTAGCTGAGTTGGTCAACCTGAAGCCCCAGGGCAAGCTCTCCTGCTCTCCTGCCCTTAGGGCAGGCTCACCCACACCAGAGCCCGCCCCACTCTCAAAGCTCGGGCCCACTCTCCCACTCTCACACCATTAGCTGGCTCACCCATGGCTTCACCAACAGGGCCGAGTGTGGGCCTGCTCTCAGTGTGCAGCCTGTGAGGCACATGGCCGGCTCACCTACTCGCTCTTACTAGGTCATTAGGGTGGTTTGTTTTTTTGTTTTTAAACATTTATTTATTTATTTATTTATTTATTTATTTAATGTATATGAGTACACCATTACTTTCTTCAGACGCTCCAGAAGAGGGCATCGGATTCCATTACAGATGGTTGTGAGCCACCATGTGGTTGCTGAGAATTAAACTCGGCACCTTTGGAAGAGCAGTCAGTGCTCTTAACCACTGAGCCATCTCTCCAGCCCTAGGTCATTGTTTTTAAAAGTAGGACTCTAAAATTTTCCTCAGACTTCCATCTACTTCAGTGTTTTGGTTTCTGTTATCAGGGAGTTGGGGATCTGAGCACCTGTTGTGCTGGCTAATGGTCCTATAATCTTTGTTGTGTTTTGCACATTGTGGTGATGGATGTGTTTCACCATTTTAACTCTTTTCAGGGCTGTTTTGTGGGTGCCTTCTTAAAAGCTTGTCGTCAGGGGGAAGTACATTTCTTGCAGCTTGCAGATTGGAGTGGTGACCCAAATAGTTGGGGTCCAGCTAAACCAGTTCCAGCTTTGCTCACTGTAGAAGACCCCTTTATATTACTCTTGAGTTTCCATACATAGAAGCTGAGGGTGGGGCACTGGTTGGAGGTGTGAGTGTCCTCGGTTCTTTGGAACTACAGAGGACAGCACGAGACGGGAGGCGTACAGGTCAGGTCATGGGTGTGAGGGTTCACAGTGAGACTGTTTAGATGTAAACATGTAGAAGGACAGACGTTCATAGGGCCAGAGAAGGGAGGCAGGGACCACAGTGACTCAACCCGAGTTACAGCTCGGGTTAGAAAAGTGACCAGTTAGGAAAAGTTTAACAAAGACACACCACACACACACACACACACACACACACACCTGCCGTGGAACATGAGGCAGTGACTAGAATTACACTCCGTTGAGAAACACCAGTTCCATGGACTTTGTGTGGAGTGTCAAGGAGCAGGGGTGCTCAGAGCCCCAGGGGCTCCTTTGTTCTCACACTGGCCGCCATGTGGGAGGGGCAGCAGGCGCTCCAGAGGGTTGTCTTCTCTGCTGTCTGTATGTGTCTTTGTGTCACACATGGCATGTCTGTATGTGGTTTCAGGACCCGCGGTTTGAGGATGTGGTCATTTACTTCTCTCTGGAGGAGTGGGAGTGCTTGCACCATTCCCACAGGAATTTGTACCGTGCTGTGATGCTGGATACCTACAGCAGCCTGCTTTCACTGAGTAAGCTCATCCCCCAACAAAGTTCAGAAGTGCTGGGTGTGATTCTCATGTCCTTTATGGAAAACGCTTTTTTTTTATGTATATGGGTATCTTGCCTACATGTATGTCTGTGTATCACATGCATGCCTGGTACCCTTGGAAACCAGAAGAAGGCATTAGAGCCCCTAGAATTTGAGTTACAGACCGTTGTGAGCCGCCATGCGGGTGCTAAGAATTGAGCTCCAGTCCTGCAGGCCGTGCTCTCAACTGCCGAGCCATCTCTCCAGCTCCTACTGACTTGTTTTGTTTGAGACAAAGTCTGTTGTCTTAAACTGACAATCCTCCTGCCTCAGCTTCATAGGTGCTAGGGAACTAGGCATGCACCACCACCACCAAAAGCTTTTGTTGAGTTTTTCATGAACACTTTTCAAGCACTGGGTTAAGTTAATTTGGCCACACCTGTGCACACACACACATATGCACACGAGCATGTTATGTTCTCCAGTGCCTTAACGCTCCTTCACTTTGATCCTTAGAAATGATATTTTTCTTTATTGTTTTAATTATTGAGTGGGGGATGGCATGAACATAAAGGTCAGAGGACATCTCTGTGGCGTGGCTTCTGTCCACCCATCTTTACTTGGGTTCCCAAGACTGGATTCAGTTTGCCAGGCCTTTACTCATTGAGCCATCTTGCTGGCCCACTTTCTCCCCACTCCACACTGCCCCCCCCCCCCACTTTTTCTCTCAGTCTTTTATTGAACAGAGATTTTTTTCCATACAGTATGTGCTGATTGCATCTCCCTCCCCAGATCCCTCCAGACCATCTCCACCCTCCCCACAACCCAAATCCATGCCCTTTCTTTCTGTCATTAGAAAACAAGCCAGGATAGGACTAGACAGACAGGGCGGGGGCGGATGTAAAAGCAGGAGAAACACACCTTTACACATAGAGAAAACCAATTGGAAACCATAATATATAAGCAAAAGATCTGTTAATGTTTAAAAGAAAAAAACTGGGAAAAAATGCTCAGACGAACCATCTTGATATCAAGAGAGAAAAATCTCCAACCATACCACTGAGTTTGTCTTGGACACCTACTACTGAGCATGGGGGCTGCCAGTAAGTGGGTTTCTATACCCAGTGAGAGTCCTTTGGAGAAAAGCTAACTTTTCCCTTGTGGGAGTTGTCAGTTGGAGAAAAGAGCTTCTGGGTTAGGAGTGGGGCTTCTGGCCACTTCTCCTCTCATGGCTGAGACCGTTTTTTTCTCTTGGCAAACATGGACTTAATTTCTACTATGTAGCCCAGGCTTGCCTTGAACCCACAGAGATCCACCTGCCTCTGCCTCTAGAGTGCTAGGTGTAATGAAATATAATTCGGCGAGAGTACCCGCAGAGCCCATGCCAAGCTGTGCCCGAGTCATCATGCCATGCTCAGATCTGGCATAAGAGGATTTATTCAGGGGAAGGGAGGGGAGTGAGGGTCTGGAGTAGGGGTAGAGGCAGACAGACAGGAGCAGAGCCATGAGGGGACAGAGAAGGACGGGGGGGGGGGGGGGGGGGGAGAAAGAGAGAGACAAGCCAGGAATAATATAGTGCATGGGAACAGAGAGAGAGAGAGAGAGCTGGGGTGGGAACAGAGAGAGAGAGAGAGAGAGAGCTGGGGTGGTGGCGTCCTTTTATATGTAGTGGCAGGTGATGGCAGAAAGTAATGACTTAAGCCATGGCCTACAAGCCAACACTAGGACTCAAGGCCTGCGGCAACTCTGACGTGCACAGTAAATGTCCCCTTTGTCTTTGGACAGGTCTTGCTGACACTAAGCCACGTGTGGTCTCCCTTTTAGAGCAGGGGAAAGAGCCCTGGATGGTTATGAGGAATGAGACAAAAATTTGGCATCCTGGTAAGTGATGGCCGGTGGGGCTGGGGAGACCAGGGCAGATTGTCACCCAGGCAGTCTGAGAAGGCAGCCTCTGAGGTGCTGCTGGGAAAGCTTCCTGCAAGCCAAGCCTGAGGTCTGAGGTCTGGGGTCTGGGGGAAGGGTGTCCTAGCACAAGGCTCTGAACTCTTCCTCCCCCGCTCTCACACCAGTGTTCTGTCACAGTCCTGCCCATTCCTGAGAAGGACCCATGACAAGCATTTTACCTGTATTTTGAGTCTAGTTTTCTCTTGTCTTTTTGGTTTTTTGAGACAGGGTTTCTCTGTGTAGCCCTGGCTGTCCTGGAACTCACTCTATAGACCAGGCTGGCCTCGAACTCACAGAGATCCACCTGCCTCTGCCTCCCAGTGCTGGGGTCAAAGGTGTGCACCACCACCGCCTGGTGCTCTTGGCTTTTTAAACACCTTCATTGAGATACAGCTCACGGATCATAAAACTCATCCCTGTACAATTGGTGGATAGCTTTAGTATTTGTGGACTTGGGTGTCCATCACAGCCGTCAAATTGAAAGGTATTTTCACAACAGCCGTCCTTGGTAGAGTCTGTCCATAGCCAGCATGGCAGCGCTGTAGACTGACAGTGGGGATGTCAAGCAGGACACTGCTCACTTTCATGCTGATACAATGTAAGGACATCAAGCAAGATGTTTACAGTACAACAGTGTTGTCTTGAAAAGGTTTTAGAATTCTTGTGTAAAAGCACACATCAGAAGAAAACTATGGGTGTCCTGGCCTTTGAAGTAACTGGGAAATGCTCCTCCCCTTCCTGACTCTGAAGAACATTTTTCCGGCAATAAGGGTTTTTTTTTTTTTTTTTTAATTTTTGAGCTGAACATCTGCTCATGGTCTGAAGCTAGAGCTGGGCGCGGCTGTTGACGGCCCGTTGTCTATGTTCTCTCTGTTTCCTGGGTCAGTCCTGGACATGGTGCGTGGGGCTCCAGTCTGACTTGGTCACCTCTCAGTGTAGACGGAACACGACCTTCCCCGTCCCTTATGGGCTCTCATGACGGTCTCTCTGCTCATACCCTTCCTCCCTCGATTCCAGTGATTGCAGTCATCACTTCTGACACTAGCCCTTTCTGAAGTGTGACTAACCTTCCACTTTCTTACTGTCTTACAGATTGGGAGTCTAGGACAGAAGCCAAGAACTTCCTTTCAAAGGACAGTTCCAAAATTAAAATGTTGCAACAAAAGATGGCAAAAAACCATACCTGCTCGAGCCTTGAGGACAGCAGGGCCGGAGGTAACAGAGAAGTCACGTGCGAGGTGGAGAGTCGACATGTCCGTCAGGAGGGACACTTGAGTCAGGCTGCAGAAACCTCTGCTGGGAGGCCTGGTTCCGCCAAGCGCACAGCTCACAGGGAGGCTCACCCGGGAGGAAAACCCTGCAGGTGTGAGAAATGCCACAAAACGTCCGTGTGCCAGCCGCCTCCCAGTGACCGTGAGCAGACTCACAGTAAGGCAAAGGCCAGTGCGCATGCACAGCGTGGGAAGGTCCTTAACGGCACGCCAGACACGGCTGTGCGTCAGAGAGCTCAGGAAAGCAGAAAAGGCAGTGAGGGTCAGAACAGTGCCCTTGCGTGTGGTTCTGACCCCTGCAAACCTCAGAGCGCTCAGGGGAGTGAGAGGCCGCACAAGTGTAAGGAGTGTGGGAAGGCCTTCCACATGCCCTCCCAGCTCAGTCACCACCAAAAGCTGCACCTGGGGGAGAAGCCCTACAAGTGTCAGGAGTGCGGGAAGGCCTTCCCATCGAACGCCCAGCTCAGTCTTCACCAGAGAGTTCACACTGACGAGAAGTGCTTCGAGTGCAAGGAGTGCGGGAAGGCCTTCATGCGCCCCTCCCACCTGCTCCGCCACCAGCGCATCCACACCGGGGAGAAGCCTCACAAGTGTAAGGAGTGTGGCAAGGCCTTCCGCTACGACACACAGCTCAGCCTTCACCTGCTCACTCACGCCGGGGCCAGGCGCTTTGAGTGTCAGGACTGTGACAAGGTGTACAGCTGTGCCTCCCAGCTCACTCTGCATCAGATGACACACACTGGGGAGAAGCCCCACAAGTGTAAGGAGTGTGGCAAGGGCTTCATCTCTGACTCACACCTCCTTCGCCATCAGAGTGTTCACACTGGTGAGAAGCCCTATAAGTGTAAGGAGTGTGGCAAAGGCTTCCGTCGTGGGTCAGAACTTGCCCGGCATCAGAGGGCCCATTCAGGTGATAAACCCTACAAGTGTAAGGAGTGCGGAAAGTCCTTCACTTGCACCACAGAGCTCCTTAGACATCAGAAAGTTCACACTGGAGACAGACCCCACAAATGTAAGGAGTGTGGGAAGGCCTTCATTCGAAGATCAGAGCTGACCCATCATGAGAGAAGTCACAGTGGCGAGAAGCCCTATGAGTGTAAGGAGTGTGGGAAGACCTTCGGCCGCGGCTCCGAGCTCAGCCGACACCTGAAAATCCACACCGGGGAGAAGCCCTATAAGTGTCAGCAATGTGGGAAGGCCTTTATTCGCGGCTCTCACCTTACCCAGCATCAGAGGATTCACACCGGACAGAGGAGTGAATGAGTTGCCATCAGGAAATCCATCCAGTTTAAAAACCCTGTGGTGGCTGACAACTGTGGAAGACCAAGTTACAGGGTTTCTCATCAGTGCTAGAATTTCAAAGACCAATTAGGGCCTGAAGTGATTGGACACTTGCCAACAGAAAGAAACCATATTAACTACAGAAATCAGAATTTACCATAGGCTTTAGTAGACGAACAACTGGAAAGTTCCATGGGTGTAAAGGAGGGAGGAGGAGTGCCTCTCAGTGGCCAGAGCCAAACAGGCCTCAGGGCATTCCTAGCTGGATAAGCCGAGCAGGGCAGTGAGCATCTCAGAGATTAGCGGTACCCGGGCCAGCCGTCCGAGGAGAGAACTCAATCATTACACAGCGTGACTCTCTATCATGCCTCAGGCCACACTTGTGCTAAAATGCAGCCCACTCGTCTCTCATCCCACACGACGCTCATGGAACGCTCACTACTTTATAAAGTTATTTGAAATGCGGAGTGTGGAAAGGACCCGGCCATGCGGACTTTTTACATGTCCTCACGAGCCGGGCAGATTATTTACTGACTGTGTAACTTCTCCAAGGTAGCAGTGTTAGCCCCATGTTTCAGGCATGCTGTTACACGCCTGTAATAATGCAGCGGGCATGCTGCATGCTATTACACGCCTTTAATATAAGCGCCTGGAAGCCAAAGGTAGGAAGATCACAAGTTGAGGCTAGCCTGGAGACTCTTAAGTAAAACAACAAACAAGCAAAAAATTACGCCAAAGATAGCTGCTTTCTTTATTATTTTCATAACTGTGAACTTAAGACTGTTACAAGAAGAAAGCCTTACATGTCCAGTCACTGGAGGACATCTTGCCTCATCTCTTTGACTGTTAGAGAATTCTTATGAAGAAAGACTTAGAGCTTTTGTTCATACCCTTCTGCTGCTAAGAGGCCTCATAATTGGAATGTGGTGAGGTCAGTATGAGGAGGGGCTGGGATTTGGATAATTTACTAAAGCCTCCCTGAGCGAGGTGTGGTGCTACAGACATCCTGTAATCCCAGCACGTGGGAGGTAGGAACAAGACAGGCATTCAAGTCCATCTGGTCTACCTAGTGAGTTGGGGGGTAGCCTGGACAATGTGTTGCAGTCTCAGAACTTTCATAAAGAAAAGCCATGCCGTGATCTGTACACTAGAGAACTGGAAAATAGTAAAGCTTTAACCAAGATCCAAGCCTCCATAGGAAATGTTAAAGTGCCTATATAAATACGTTCATATCTAAAGGTCCATTAGGAATAAATTACACTATATGTTGAATCTGGTACACTGTGGCTGAAACTATACTCTGAGGAAAATGAACTTCCTTTCGTATGTGTAAAAAATGGGGACTGGAAGGTCTAGGATTCTGTATTTATTATACCTGTCACAGTACCTAGTCCTGGTGATTCCCAGTAAGTATTCTAAGTAACAGAAGAGCAAATAACTACTCAACTCCAGCAGACAAAGAAAGTAACAAAATTAAACCTTGCAAAAGTAAACCTTGGAATAGATCACACACGCACGCATGCATGCACACACGCACACACACACAATGTTGTACAGGAGATGAAGTTCTTAGGAAGTAAGGCAAGCTTAAATGAGCAGAGAGCATAAGTCCTACCCGTCAGCAGATGTTAGCCACTCTCCTGCAGTGTCACCACAGTGTGACAGGTTCGTGTGGCTGTGGCCTTGGTGTCACATGTGACTGACTGGGCAGGAGACCACCATGGGCTTAGTAACAAGATCCAGGGACATGGTCTTCCCAGCTGCAGGGAGTACATCTGTGCCATCAGGCGGTGCTGGCTCTCTGAGGCTGAGACTGCTGTAGAACAGCATCGTCATTGACACTGTGGTGTCATGGAACCATGAACTCTCCTTTTCCTGGACCTACAGAATAAGAAATCCAGACACCGAAAATTACTACTCAGCTCTTTACAGTCTATATAACGCTTGGAAAGTTAGCTTTTAAAAATATTTTTACACCAATATATTCAGTTTCAGTAACGTGGGATGTTTATATTCAGCCATTTATGGTATATCTGACATAAGAAGCATTATTTTCCAAAGTATTTTCTTAGCCATATTATTGAAATATATATTCAACTTCAATTTTGTAAGATGTAGTATATTTACTTAGAGCATTTGATAGTGTGTTTTTATATCCTGCTTTATATAGTATATTTAAATGCTGGAAAAATATTGTTTTCCTGAATGAAGTTAGAGCTGAGGGGAAGCTGCTTCCGGAGCTACACTCCCCCTCTAACAGCGAGCGAGTCACCTGACAGCTGACACCTTCTACCTCTTGGGGACATGAGGCACTCACTGCTGGGAAGGCAGCACACACTCACCAAGGTGGAAAAGGCAGCAGCATCGAAAATCCAGTCGGCTATTTACCAATCCACTGTCCTTAGAGGGTTCTGTGATTGTAGCAGCGTGCAGTGTCTGGCAGCCCAGGAGTGAGCAGCGTGGTGCTTTGTGCAAAGGACTTATGTTGAAGTGCCAGTGAGTGAGTGAGTCCGGGCTATACAGTCACTTGAGACTAGCAGAGCCTGCTGGGAAGTAAGTCCCCGTCCTTGTCCTTCCCCCTGGTCTGTAGGCGTCCATGTTGAGAGCAGTCTGCTATCTCGAGCTCATCTGCCTACCCTGCAGAGCGTCACGTCATGTGCTAGGGAAAGCTGAAATTACTAGGCAGGCGCCTGCAGAACAGTTATGACGGAGTGCAGGCAGCATGTGGGCATGGGCGCACACGTGTGCAGGCCAGCGGCCGAGCTAAGGGGTCCTTCCTCAGGAGCCATCTACTCTGGTTTTCTGATGCAGGGTCTCACGAGGAGCTGGGACTTACCCGTTAGGCTCAGCCGACTGGCCAGTGAAACCCAGGATGTACTCAGCTCTGTTTTCCTCGCATTGGAATTGAACACAGGTGCGCACGTCACCTGGCTTTTTCATGAGGGTTTTGGGGAGATTTGGGGGTCAGGTCCTCACGCTTGCCCGGCAAGCGCTTTACTGACTGAGCCCACACCCCAGCCGGTCAAATACTTTTTGAAAGGGAGAAATGATAACTGAGTTTTAATCTGCACTGGTATATTAACTTTAAAACCTATCTATCTAAAAATATTAACTATTCTTCTAAGAGGAGAACTTGCACATTTTATAGGAATTAAATAAATTAATAAAAGTTTTTTAAAGGGTGCTTTTAGTACAGATTTTAGAGTTGGAAGGATGCTTTTTAATTTTCTGCTCCTGTATACATATTTTTTTAGACTTGAATGTCCTACCCCAAGTGTATGCATCATGATGCACCTGAAACCAAACATATTCTACAGTGATTTATTTAGAAAATGACACATGTACACTGTTTCTTAAGTGCCAACAGTGGATGCTGCACTGCCATCTCTCTGGTTGAGATCCACACGCAAGCTTAAGATTTGTCTTGGTCACAGGTTCTGGGTGGGGAAGAATGGGTTGAGTGGGATTGTGCACACACAGGGATGCAGCAGGCTCCTTTCCTCATACGGTGATGTCCTGAGGAGGGCGTTCTAGTCACTACTCACAGCTCGGCTATCTCCCATAACACAGACAAGCCATGTGCTGCAGCCTGTTCTTTCCTAGCAAGTGTTACCTTCACCGTAGGCAATGTGAGTTCAGGACACAAGCATTACCTCATGTTGCTGCCTCCGTTTCTATAGAGCAGCTAAATTCCTGCCTTAGCATAGTAGACTTCAAATGTACTTGGTGCCTTATTGTTTCCGCGTGGAGCTCACCGTCATATCCACTGGAACCAGTGTGTTTCTCAACTGTGTTAACCAGGACTGAAAACGTGCCTTCCATTTGCACTTCCTTGACTGCTAGGGAGGTGGGGCTTCTCCCTGGCCTGTGGGTCATTAGAGCTTTGTTTCTGTGAATTGCACATTGCTATGGGTCTCACTTTGTAACACACCTAGAAGATCATAGTACACTTGGGCAATTTGTTGTCTTAGTCTAGTATATGTCATTTGCCCGTTTCTGTCAAAATAGTTAGCACATGTTTTATGAAGGGCCAGACAGTGAGTATTTCAGGTTGGGGACTGCTTCTGTGCAGCCTTTGCCACAGAGAAGTGCATCCTGTATAGTCAGCAGTCCTCAGCCACTTCTACCACGTCCCCAGTGGACAGTTGTCACTTTAAAGATGACTGCTGCTTATGTCTACTGGGCAGAGGCCAGAGATCCTTCTCTGTGTCCTGGGGTGCACAGCACAGCCCCCAAAACAAATTATGTCACACTCTAAAATGTCAGTGTGTTTCTGGCCAGAACAGAACTGGCTACCACTGTGTATTAATAAACCATTCACAGGAACAACCAGCTCTGGCCACAGTGAGCCGTAGGTGTGCCTTCCCACCCGGTTTTAAGCAGTGTTTATCTGTAGTACTCGTTTTGTTTCTGAAATCTTTTACCTCAAGTAGTTTTCCCTATTTTTATGGCTTTAATCTTCTTGACTAAAAATGCAGAGAATTGATTGCCTGTGTGTAATTGCAGCCTAATATTTCTGAAGCACGGGTTGTATTTGCTTGGTTTGGGTTGAGATTTTATAAAATAAAATAAATCACTTCAGAAAAGTATGGTGACGTCTCACTTTCTTTTCCTGTGCCTGCAGAGGGTACAGCCAAGAACACTGGTGTCGTAAAACCAAACTCAGATTCCACGTGGGTGATGTACAGTCTTTACTTCCTCTTACAGCTCTGTCCACTGTGTGGGATTGCCAAGGACAGACCTAGTCCTCAGTATATCTGCTCTCTCTCATCTTATGTGTGTTAGAGTCATTGAGAGAACAACAGAAGCAGATAACATCTATATAGAAGCACCGAGGGATGTAATAGAGATTTTTCATTTAAAGACCATTCAGCAAAACCAAGGAGCCATGCTTACAAGCTGTACAACGTAGCAAGAAAGTATAAAAGCTACTGGCCTGATGGACTGTGGCATGGTCGGGAAGTGCCACACTTCCACTATTACCAAGGGTGACAGGTGAGAGGTTCGAGACCACATGACCACCTCTGGGGGACACATTCTGCTGCCCTGGTGTATGGAGAATTGAGGTTGTATCTGCCAAAATCAGTGAAGTCCCAACAAAAAGTGACTGCTTAGGACCTAAGTAAGGTCTACAGGGTGTTCCAAAAGTTGCCGTGGAAGTTGCAGATCCATAGAGGAAGCCTGAGGTGGCCTGGGATAAAGTGCACAGAGAGCTCCATAGCCTCAGCACACGCTGCAGACAAGAAACAGACAAGACCAAACATAACCAAGGACAGTATGTGACCTCAGGGGAAACCAGGGCTAGAGTTCTGGCCCTAAAGACCAGCCCCTCAGAGGAAAACACTTCAGCCCCATGTTTAAGTCCTATAGCAGAAACACAGAAAATAAGATAACATGTCTTCTCAAAACATTACCAAACCCACACTGACGGCTCCCAGTGAAAACGATTTGGAAGAAATTGACATAGTTACAAATTACTCTTTTAAACAAACTAAGAACAAAGGGAGAAAATAAGGATGTCAACCCAAAATAGAAAAGGATTCAATAAAATAGAATTATGAAAAGCCAAACTAGGGCTGGTGAGATGGCTCAGTGGTTAAGAGCACTGACTGCTCTTCTAGAGATCATGAGTTCAAATCCCAGCAACCACATGGTGGCTCACAACTACCTACAATGAGATCTGATGCCCTCATATGGGTGTCTGAAGACAGCTACAGTGTACTTACATATAATAAAAAAAAAAAAAAAAAAAGCCAAACTAGGGGCTGGAGAGATGGCTCAGTAGTTACGAGCACTGGCTCCTATTCCAGATGACCTGGGTTCAATTCCCAGCATCTACATGGCTGCTCAAAACTGTAATTCCAGTCCCAGGAAATCTGATACCCTCACATACATAGATCAAAACACCAATGCATATAAAATAAAAATAATGCTTTAAAAAAGGAAAAGGCAAACAAATCATTCCGGAAATGAAAAATTCAGCCTAATTAAAGTTCCCATGGGAGCCGGGCAGTGGTGGCACACACCTTTAATCCCAGCACTTGGGAGGCAGAGGCAGGCAGATTTCTGAGTTCGAGGCCAGCCTGGTCTACAGAGTGAGTTCCAGGACAGTCAGGGCTACACAGAGAAACCCTGTCTCAAAAAACCTAAATAAATAAATAAATGTGGAGATGTGAAAGGAGGCATTTCTACATTTATTACTTTCATGGTATCATCTTCCTTTCACAGGAATTGACAATACTGGCAGTAAGAATTACAGACATTATTTTAGGACACATGCTACCATGACTTTGATCGAGTGTTAACTACTTCATCCTTAGGTTAGTGCTGATGTACAGTACAGCAGGTGGGCTGTAACCTGGTCCTCGCTCACCAGCCTCCTCACAGTATTCAATTTCATGAGACTTACGGAGTGTAAGCTGCTCTGGTAACTTATATTTAACCAGTAGAATGTGGTAAAATGACCGGACGTTCCTTCTGTGATTAGACTGCACAGATTATCACTTCAGTCTGGCTGGCTGGCTTCCGTGCTGCCAGCAGCCAACTTTCTTGGCTTGTGCAATCCCATCAGAGCGGCAGCCACACTGGGACAGTCAATACGCCGGGAGCTTCACCCACCTTTCAGCCAATGGCCCTCCAGAATCTGAGAATCCCAATGGATCAGCTCTTAAAGAAAGGAACTCAGGTACCTAACCTGTTCCCTTCGGTGTGGATCCTTCTCTAGTTAAGCTTCCAGATGAGGGCCAGCCTTAGCTGAAACCTCAAAGACCCAACTAAGGCATACCTGGACTCTTGATTTATAGAAATTTTTAGATGATACATGTGTATTATTTAATCTGTTTTTCTATTAATTTGTTACATAACAATAACTAGTACGTGTAAGTGCTATTGTCACCATTTTGACAGTGAGCAAAACAAAGCATTAATGCTTAGGGTTCTGTCCAGTGTCACACTGGAAGAGAGTGGTTAAATATAGGTGATAACATTTCCCTACATTCATCAAATATTCTTTCATGGGAATTTGGTGAAGAATGTAACATTTAAGTGAGGATGGTGGTGAGCTTTTAAAGCAACACAGTCTTTTTTATGCTTAGAAGCACAAAATAAATTATTCTGAAAAATGGATTTCCTGACATGTTACTACTTGGTATACAGCTGAAGGCTTGTCAGGTCCCACTGTGGATCTTCTGGTGCTGGGTGAGGTGTGAGTGCTGTCTGAAGGCCTTCTTGCACTCCTTACATTTGTAGGGCTTCTCACCAGTGTGGATCCTCTGGTGCTGAGAAAGAAATGAATACAGTCTAAAAGCCTTGCCACAGTCCTTGCACTCGTACGGCTTCTCGCCCGTGTGGATGCTCCGGTGCTGGGTGAGCTGAGAGAGCAGCCGGAAGGGCTTTCTACACTCCTGGCATTCATATGGCTTCTCGCCCGTGTGGACGCTCTGGTGCTGGGTGAGTTGTGAGAGCAGCCGGAAGGCCTTCCCGCATTCTTCACACTCATAGGGTCTGTCGCCGACATGAATGCTCTGATGTGAAATCAGCTGGGAGTAACTACTGAAGGTCTTCCAGCACTCCAGACACTCATAGGGTCTCTCGTGGGTATGGATTCTCTGATGGCGGACAAGCTGCTGCCTCAATCTGAAGGCCTTCCCACATTCCTTACAGTTGTAGGGTTTCTCCCCAGTGTGAATACTCTGATGGACGGTCAGCTGTTGGCATATTCTGAAGGACTTGCCACAGTCCTTACATGCATAGGGCTTCTCGCCAAAGTGGATTTTCTGATGCACTCGAAGGTCTGGGCCACACACGAAGGCTTTCCCACACTCCTTACATTCGTACAGTTTCTCAGAAGTGTGAAGTCTCTGGTGTCGGGTAAGGTGTGTGCACTGTCTGAAGGTCTTCCCGCAGTCCTTGCACTCATAGGGTTTCTCCCCGGTGTGAATCCTCTGATGCCGAGCCAGCTGCTGATGTACCCGGAAGGCCTTTCCACACTCCTTGCACTCATACGGCTTTTCACCAGTGTGAAGTCGCTGGTGCTGGGTGAGTTCTTGGAGCACCGTGAAGGCCTTCCCACAGTCCTTACACTCGTAGGGCTTCTCACCGGTGTGAAGTTTGTGGTGTCGGATAAGGTGCGCCCGCTGTCTGAAGGGTTGCCCGCACTCCTTGCATTTGTAAGGTTTCTCGCCGGTGTGGATCCTCAAGTGTTGACTGAGCGTTGAGCGGCGAATGAAGGTCTTCCTACACTCTTTACATTCATAGAACTTTTCTCCATTCTGAACTCTCTGGTACTCAGAAAGGAAACTATGCTTTTCATACGTGACTTTTTCAGAGGTAATTTTCAACTCCCCAAAATAACCCTCCTGTGGTTCCTTTTGTAGCTCAGTCTTGTGTTTACCTTCCCGATCATCACTAAGACCAGAACCCTGAGGGCTAAGGCTTTTAATTTTCTCCATCAACTCCCACTGTAATGAAAACACTTCACAAATGTCCTTGTCTGAAGATGAAGTATCAGTCTTGAATCTGGACTCCAAATCTGAAAGAGAACAAGAAAGAAACACACTGCTTCCGTGTTCCAAAAGGAAGCAAACTTCTATAGACAGATAACAGGGCCTAAAGCAATGCCGACTCTAAGTGATAGACTGTACCTCCTGTAAACAGGCATTTCTGAAAAAAAAAAAAATACTACCTATGTATGCCCCAAAACCCATATCCTACATAAAATCCTGCACCAAAAATAATTAAGTTCATGGGAAAACAGCAGGAGTTACCACACAACTGTACACAGCTTTATCAGCAAAACACTAACAATACTATAGTTGCTCTGTCAAGGGAATAAAGGTATTCATTGTGGCCAAAGCTCACTTCATGAATACTAAAATAAATAAAAATTAAGGCCCTGTTTGAGATGCAGAGACAGCACACGTGAAAATAAGACCAAGAAAGGCTGCAATCCCAACACTCGGGGGGATGTCAGCCTGGGCTACACAATCTCAGGACAGCCTGAGCTACAAAGGAAGGTCATTTCTAAGAAGAAAGCTGAACTGTGTATGATAGATACTTATTTTCCCAGCTGCCAGGGAGGTTAAGGGAGAAGGATTACTTGACTCAAAGAGTTGGAAGCCAGCCTGGGCAACATAAGAGATTCCATCTCATTCATAGATAGATAGATAGATAGATAGATAGATAGATAGATACCAGAGGTGGTGCCTGACTATAGTAATCCCAGCAGGGAGGTGGAAGCAAGAGGATCAGAAATTCAAGATCCCCCTTGGATACACAGTGTGTTCTGGTCCAGCCTAGGATACTGGAGACCTTGTCTCAAAAAAAAAAATTGTAGCCAATTATGGTAGTACATTTAATCCCAGTGATCAGGAGACAGAGTCAGGTGGAGCTCTGAGAATTCTGGGCCACCAGAAGAAGGGAGGGACAGATAGACAGATAGAGGAAGGCCTTGAGGAGCTGACTGAGCATGCAGTACATAGTCCCAGGTAGGAAACCAGGGGTGGCAGTATGCTTCTGTAATCCCAGCATCGGGCAGGCAGAGGACGAGGAACCCTGGGGATTTGCTAGCATGTCACTCTACCCAATA